TGAGTTGAAGGATGAACGACTGAATCTGACATAGGGTGTCTCGTTGACTCGTAGCTGTCGACGACGACTGTTGAAGCTGCTCCAGTTTGTGGTGGAATAGATGGTGAGTATACTGAGGACGATCATATCTCCTCCGAAGCGCTTCAATGGCTAGGCGATAATTGTCCGGCTGAGATGGGTCATAGCCTTCAATCATCAACGCAGCACTTCCTTTAAGCGAGTTGGTCAAGTAGATGAACTTGGTAGCTGGCGAAAAGGCGTCGTTGTCGTGAACTGCTGTTCGAAACCTACTCCAGAAGTCGTGGTACTGAGAGATATCAAGGTGGGTAACTCAACACGTCGAAGTTGAATTGGCTGTGACAACGGAGGTTCCCTGTGATGGAGTTAGGGGTCTTGTCTGTTGAGGAGAATCCAGATTTCCTTGTGATGGTACGTCGCTGATGGAACGTGGTGAATCCGTTACAGCCAAAGAACCTGTAGCTGTAGTCAAGTCCTTCTGAAGATGTGACAGAAGAGAAGTCTGGATGTTATGATCCGCGATGAGCTGCGAGTCAAGTTCCATGATGGTATCCTGGGCTTGATCGAGAAGTTGCTCTCCCTGCTGGTCAATCCACAACTGATCGGCGTCGCGGATGACTTCCTCCTGATCCTGAGTGCGAACAAATAACAGCAAGGCTTGATAACGCGATCTAAGAGTACCCGAAGCCTTCTCGATTCCATTCCTTGCCATGGTGATGGCTTCCTTACGACGTCAGATGGCACGAAGTTAGATTTCCGGAGACGCATCCGTGTCGATCGGCGGCAAATAGCTAGAGTCCAACGCGGAAATCATCTTAGAAAGCATACTGATGGCCGTAGTTATCTTCACCCTGTGCGTTTGTAATACAGACATGATAGTTAGATCTTAGAAAGCATACTGATGGCTGTAGTTATCTTCACCCTGTGCGTTTGTAATACAGACATGATAGTTAGACGAATAACAGTTAGCGGTGTTATAACCTACAAGGCAAAATACGTTTGAGTGTCCTTTAAAAGGTAAACCGTATTCACGATTGTAGCGTTAAATACGAAAAGGTCGTAAAATGTAGAACGGCATGGTAAAAATAAAGCTGACCATTAAAAAGGAATAAGGGCGAGACAAAGAAGAGAAATAAAGCTGACCATTAAAAAGGAATAAGGGCGAGACAAAGAAGAGAGTGAAGAAGAGAAGATACTGATGAAGAAGAAGGAAAATGAGAAGAGGGTGCAAAAGGAAAGGAGAAGCCGGAGGAGGAATAGGGGGGAAAGGAACCAAAAGGCGAGCAGTTTAGCACGACATGACTGAAAAACTGAAAAGGGGGACGCAAAAGAGGGTGGATACAGCATGCGGATAAT